TGTCATCTAGCAACGTCTGGTGAACGGATGATTATTAGCCAACGCATCGATCACTTATAAAAACTAGATACACAATCAATGACAAAAAGCGACCTCACCGAATGAGCACCCATTCGAACATTTGGGTGCGCTTTTAATCTAGTTACATTCGAACGCTCCGACGGTAAACATGCCTCAGTGCTTGTTTAAAAAGTGTAAAAATCACACATCCTGGACACTAAAAACGGATGAAATTTCCTTATTTCGGTACGTATTAATATTATCATTATTTTATTGTTATCACTGTATTGTAAATACTTATATTTTGTCAAGAAATCTCCGTAAAACATTTTTTTAAATTAACCCTAGATCACTAACCTTATTTTACTACGCTTATTACTAACCTTCGTCGTTTCGACTACGGTGTATAAAAGGGAGGCTTCTAAGGGTTTATGAAATAAAATATTTTTATGTGTTTTACTTATTTATTACAATAATCATTTGTTAACATGTTCATAAGTTTTTTATCTACTAAAATCATATTTTAATTATTTTGACACTCTTTTAATTCAGACCTGAGTTTTTACTCATTTGAACATTTTTGTTTTTTTAAATGCTTGTTTCTTATGAACTAAAAGAATCAAAGACTTAAGAAAGTATTAAAATATTAAAATTAAGTAATAAAATCAACAAAAGAAAGAAACAGTTTAGAAAAAAAGTATTAATAAATACATTTGTGACAAATGTCAAATTTGTGTTCGCCACACAAGGATTTGTTGCTCTTGGTGCAACAACTCTTTGTCATTCTTCGCTTTGCGGAGTGACAAATTGCACAAATTTTTCTTTTTTTAGCGATAGGAAGACTAACTGCATCTTCTCTTTGATCAGTCTCATGTGTAGAAGTAGAACTACTGGTTTCTGGCATATTCAAAATCGCTGTTATTGAGTCCCGCAGCCCCGTTTGAAGTGTCGGAATTTGTAATCTTTTTTGCATGTGTGGCTCGACTAATTTTTGATGCTACTCCGCCCTTAAATTGATCGTAAAACTCGACAGCCGTGGGCTTTTTGGTTAAGTCATCAATTGTCCCTTCCTTATCACAAGTCGACAATAGGAATATTGTCTTTTGGGGATTTGGCTTGTATGTACTGTTGATGTACTTGCCTTCAGTTAAAGGTGGCTGTTCTGTCACAGAAAAAAATTCTTCCTCACAATCCGTTTCATAAGGCGGATCAGCCTCAAAGTTGTCTACTATCTCACTCTTAGAGCAGTTTTCTTCGTCACTATTATCATCTAACAACAGCTGACTAATAGTATCTAAAATAAAAATATAATCAAATAAAAATAATATAAGTTCTAATTTCAATGTAGGCAAAATAAGTACAAAGTTTACAAAACACCGAAATAATTATAACACCAAAAAAAAAAAGAAAAATAAATTTGCAAGAATAACGTTAATACTAACCTTCGTCGATTCGACGACTCATGGTGGCTGGAACGGCACACCCAGGGCCCCTACACAAAAAACACATTCGTGTGCCGCGGGAGCCTTGAGTCAACTAAGATCAGCCGGGATCTGAAAAGCCTACGACGACGCACTCAAAATTTATACCACTTTTTTTGAGTCCGCGTCGTCGTTTTGACGAAGGTTAGTGATCTAGGGTTAAGTGTTAATAAAATAAGTCATAATTGTTCGTTGACTCTTTTTTTTCTGATTTGTTGGAGACGTTATTATTTTTTTATTATTAAAATATGATTATTTGTTTTTGTTTAGACTTCTTTATAGTTTGTCCAAATATTATAGTAACACATTATAGATTTAATTTTGAATATGTGCATGTAGTAAAATTAAAGATGTGATATTTTATTTTTAATTTTTCAGCTTTCCTCGAGATCCAGTTAGGTGTGCAGAATCGATATCAGTCATACCATGTCAAAGGTCCCAAGAATTCTTCAAGCTGACCCAAAGAAGCATTGTATGTTCGAAGCATGTTTTAGAAAGTGATGAATATGTGACTAAGACTTACAACTTTCTGTACATACTTTTTATATTTAGTAACTATTGAATTTAGATTTAAGTTCTTTGTCAAGCAATATTTTTAAATGATTGACTCAGGATGAAGAATAAATAAATAATTATGACTGTTTCAAGTACTTTCGTTACTAAATGTATCTGGTGTCCTATCCAAAAACGTATTTACATTCAGGTAAATTATAACCATTACACATAATACATCATAGAATAGAATAGAATATGCTTTATATACACCAGTTTTTAAAACAAGTTTGAAACATATTAAAATTAAAATAACAGTAACAAAAAATATTGGACAGTTCGACTCCAATGACTCCTTGTCTAAATTACGAGCCTCGGTCGTAAAATTTGATTGCTTTTTATTAGAACTTTGTTATTATGACTTTAAAACAGGCGTGTAAGGTTGAATTTGTTTTGATATAGGTTGACCAGCCAGTATCAGTCATAAAATTTATTGCTTTTCGTATGTATCTTTGTGAATACAACTATATGCAATGTATTTATGGTTGAATTTACATAAATGTATATTTATTTCAACTAGAGTTACGTCACAACAATTGGCGACATTTTTTAGAGAACTTTTGTATGGGATTGTGTATCTAGTTCTTTATTAGTGATCGATGTTATTAGCCTTCATTTTTCGCAATATGACCATTGAGGTATTAATACCACGTATAGAGAAGACATTGCCTTGCACGATTTAGCGCCACGCATTGCGGTACACTGTACCGCAACTGTTTAGTGAGTGTCCAACGCCCGCACAGACGAGTCGTGTTCGCTTCGTATAAATAACAACTTCAAAATACCACAACATCAAAAAAATGTGATGGTTTAACATTTAATCAAAAAGTAGACATTAAAATGTTTAAAAGTCTTTGATTTAAAGTTTTTCACGTTGTTACAATGCTCCGAGAATCGGGCTGTCGACCGCCGCCATTTTGCAGTACTAATTATAGAGTAAGAAAAACAAAAGACGCAGATACGCATCATACATTTGTGCCTATTGTTATACGTCGTTTAATTCGGTCCAGTGACGATAATGGCCTGTCATCTAAATACGACTACAACTATATTACAACTAATGCATTGAAGTGTTTTGTTGAGAAAGACGTATTCGTTTGTTTACTTGGTCATTCATTTGATCAACCTTCTACATTAAATCACAGAGTGCATCTAATACGTGCAATAATAAACAAATAGACAACTGTTCGATTGCACCACGAGGCAAAGGTAACAAATGATTATACGAGGAAACGCCAAAAGCTTACCAAACTTATATTGTTTAAAGGCAATTAAATATTAATTTGTGTTATATTATTTAGAATGTGTAATAAATAAAGTTTATATTAAATTGCGAGACTTTTATTTCACTGTTTTATTTATTTAATGACAAGGCAGATATTATTTTGTAGTAGGTACAAAGGTTATCTCACTTCTGCGTTGTAAAATCTATAGGAGCGACTTGTTGTACACTACATTGAACGATACGCGTAAGCGCCATGAAATCCCTGGCACTTATGATGTTTTGGTCGCGGAAAACTAATCCCTAATGCAAACTAGTGAAGCATGTTTTAATAGTTTGGTTAGACGATGTAACTATTATTTTAGCACTGCAGCGAACTTTAGTTCTAACTCTTACCAAAATGAAGCAAACTTTTAGTTCGTGATGTCTCTTCTATACGTTAGTAATATAGTTCGATGAATATGACAAATAATGTTGATTTGTTTAAATTTTGCTATTGTTCACTGTATTATTAAACAAGGAAATTTTTGTTTCTAAATAAAATAATTATAACTTTTAAATTTATAATAATTTTTGGCTTGGATACTTGTCTTTTAAGCCATGTCTTCATAACATTCGGTATCTTCGCTTTTAGAGACTATCTATAATATGTTGATGCGTCACATTGCGAAGTTTTTGGGAGATTTTGACGGCTGTTTGAGCCATCAGACAGTCGATGAGGACAGTCTCTCAAGATACCCAACGCTTACACTTTATCTTGAGATTCACATCACCATCGGAACATTTATTTCATCGTTTCCACAAAATAAATAGTTTAAATGCGTAAACATTTAAGGACCTCTACTACCTCAGCTCAAATTTTAATTTTGCCCCCACTTCCCCGCGAGTATTTTGCTATCTACCGACATATTTGTAATCACTAATACAGTAAGAAGATAGGTCGTTAGATACTTATTTCATTAGGTTTATCACATTTATGGCTGTTTCTTTATGCCAACCCATACGGTTATTTCCCATTTTAATTTTACATCGTCCTGTTACGTAATGTGTATTCTCATCGTAAGCGACACAGCTTTCCCGTTCAAAAGCCATAGCGAAACTGGTCGGGCGGCAGGGAACAAGCGTTAGGACGCCGATAGTTTAGGTAATTTGTTTTTACAGTGAAAATAATGGTAATTAAAAAAATAAAAACATAAACCCTGCTTTATAGGTAGTTCAGTTAGTACGCAAAGTTTCATGATCTAATTTAAAGTATTTTATGAATACCAGCGCAGCGGTTTATTGTTCAGTTTGGAGGTAACTTTGGATAATTTTTTCTATCGAGAAATTTTTACGGAATCGTGTTTTGTCTAATATATTACTTTACATTAATCCTCAACATCACCATATATATATTTCAAAATTAATGCTGCAATATTTTCTGCGTAACGGAGGATCTTGCTAAACCATTTGAGGTAGTATAGGCCCTTAATTTTTCACTATTGCCCCTTAATACATAAAATCGCACCAGTTTCAAGTATCAAAATCCACTTCAAATCATTATCTATACAATAAAACAAGAGCAGCAATCAAGTTAAATTCCCTCCAAAACTCTATAACTATTATAATGCTTTTATTACATATTATACTACCGGATAATAACCGGATAACTATCAATGAACATTAATATCTTGCTAATTTGCAAGCCTGACACAACTACACGGTTAGATTGCCCCACCCATTTCTTTATGATGTTTCCGTTCTAGAAAGTGGGTGACCGTGGGGAGAACAGCCAGTGCACTAAGCATGATTACCACGCGGGCTCACGGGTGGTGTTCTTCGCGGAGATCGGGAGGGACGCTGTGTCTTGCTGGCACACTGGAAGTGCGCTCACACCAAGCAACATCGCCATACTGGCTCAGGATAGACAGAGGATGAGCTACCCGTCAGGTATTTATTTCCTAAGGTGGTGGCTCCGAGGTGTTAACTAACTTTTTTTGCTACTGTCGTTAACGCTAGTAGAAAACTAAACTTTAATTGGAAATTTTAAAACCCCCGAAACAAAAAGGTCAGATCATCTTCAAACGGCTGAACAGTTTTTCTTGAAACATAGCTAAGATCACCTAACTAAGACACCTTCTAAACGAAACAAACTTAATCGTAATCGATTCATCGGTTTGGAGCTATGACGTCACAGACAGACACACAGTCACACAGTACACACTTGTACACCCGTCTGTTTTCGTCGGGGGTTATAAATGTGTACTGCAGCTATATTATGGTTGTAGCATGAATGGGCGAATACTAGCGTAAAATAGCAGCTTAATACTGCTGTGTTTCGTATGGTGAGTGTAGAGACCCGGAGACCCTTTTTTACTGGAAACGAGGTATTCCATATTAGTCCTCAGTGGTGACAACGCATCTGCGTTTTGATTCTTATTCGAGGATAAATGCAGATGTCTATGGGCCGCTGCATCCGCTTACCATCAGGTGGACTGTGCGCTCGTTTGTCACCCTACGATATAAATAAATACCTCAACGTTAACGTAACGTAACACAAGTCACAGGACTGTGGACTTCATTCGTAACTATGATAGTTACCGCGCATTGGTATTATGTTTATGGTTTGAAGAGGCGACAGAGAGACACAAACCAAGAGATGGGCAGACCCACTATCTCCCTATGAAGCATTCTATGGGAGAGACCCATGCCCAACAGTACACTTAAATAGGCTGTGGGTACCTAAGCATGAACAAAGACAAAACACAACTAATTACAAACTCTCAACCAGTAACTGTTTGATTTTTCGCGGGTAGGAGTTGATTAAGTTAGACATATTTTAATACACTGAAATCTTTAATTTGTATAATATTATATCTAGGGACTTTTGAATATAAATTTAATGTTCCTGTGATATATAAACTCCTGCCAGTCAAGTCTGAAATATATTTAGAATAACTTGAACTCTTTAGCACATTCACTTCACTACCACATTGTTATAACCTTAAAAACAAATGGAGTCAATTAAGAAATCTGTTGCGGACCTCACTGAACATTTCAACTTAAGGATGGCCGAGTTCCAAAAAGATCTCAAGAGTTCAATTCCAGCAACAAGCCCCACTTCAAATATTAATCACCAATTTAATTCATTCCGGTGCTTTGTTTTAACTGCTTTAGAAAATTTGCAACTGCAAGTTGAACTATTAGCTCAACAATATGATAACATGGAGATGAGATCTCGAAGAAAAATCCTGCTTGTTCATGGTATAGCCGAAGACAAGAAAGAGAACACATCCTCTAGTGTTGTCAAGGTTCTATCCGAGCACTTGAAAGTCCCTGGTATTACCACTGATTGGATAGGCCGGTCACATCGTCTTGGTCAACCTGGCACTGATAAACCCCGGGCTGTGCTTGTAGAATTTAGAGACTATGGGACAAAAGAGAAGATATGGCTTGCAAAGAAAAATTTGAAAGGCACTGGGATTACATTGTCCGAATTTCTTACAAAGGGTCGCCATACTACATTCCAAGCGGCGCGCCAACGTTTCGGAGTTTCAAGGTGCTGGACGAGGGATGGCATCATCTTCGTACTAGGACCTGATCAAGTACGCCATCGTATCCATTCTAGGCTTGATCTTGATGCTATTTCGACCTCTGAATCGGTAACTCAAGCCACATCTGCTGCAACCTCGGTACCAAGTGTGGTGAAAGACTCCAGGTCTGCTCAAGTAAGAACCAAGAGAATTGGTAAAAAATGAATCCTTTTTGGAGCTGGTTAAATCTGTTTTATCTTGTGCGACTACCGTATCTCTGGTTTGTTTACATTCTTTTATTGAAAAAATTTTTAATTTATTTTTTATTAATATATATTACCATTTTTCTTTTATATATACGATGTGAGGTAGTTACTTGTAACTTATATATAAAAAACCATTTCGATGTAAACAAACAATAAGTGAATTGGCATGACATTAGATAACAGTTGCACATTTTTATTTCTTTCTTCGGTGTAGGCAAAGGTCACATAGTCATACAGCCGTACCTTATGGAATTTTTGACTTCTTTTCTTATCACAAAGCAACATCTCTATAACAATTCTCTTTGTGCTCATTACATATTTTTATTTGTAAAATGCTATTTGTTTACAGTTTTTGGTAGTTTTGTTTTGTTTAAAATTGTCTCTTTTGTATTTAAGTTATTCTGAAACATCTATTATTATTATTATTATTTTTGATTCATCTCTTTCAGACTGCTGGCGGGATAGAGATCTGTTTAGGTACTTACTTATATATTTAATTTAACTATTTAGTTTTATATTTATATATTATATATATTATATATTTTATTTCATTTTACTATGTTGTTAGATAATTATGATGTAGGTAATGATTCTGACGATTTCCTGTCTTTGTCGTCAAATGATAATGCATCTAGTGAACTCAGCTTCCACAGTACAACATCTTCAATTCCGATAAATGTAGCACTTAATTCATATTTCTCAGATTCCCTGAAAAACTTTAATGTAATTCATATAAACGCCCAAAGCATTCCGGCTCATTATCCCGACATGCTTGCGTCCTTTGAATCCCATAACATTCACGCCATTCTAGTCTCTGAATCTTGGTTGAAACCATGTTTGCCATCCACTTCTTATTCATTACCAGGATTCCATCTTATTCGCAACGACCGTATTGGAAGGGGGGTGGAGGTGTGGCAATCTATCTCCGTTATTATTTACCTTTTGCGGTAGTAAGCCTGTCCCCCCAACCATCTCCTTCTAATGCGGCTGAGCATCTCTTCATTGAAGTAACCCTATCCAATACGAAAATTCTTCTTGGCGTTTGTTACAGTCCTTCTCTTCATATTGACTATTTCTCTTCTTTCGAATATTTATTAGAAAATTTAATCCCATTATATACTCACACTATAATCATGGGTGACTTTAACACATGCCCACTCAAGGGTGACTATCGGTGTGAAAAGCTAAAATCATTAACCGAGGCATATAATCTACATATATTACCACTATCTGCTACGCATAAAATGCCTGACTGTACTCCATCACTACTTGACTTAATTATTGTATCCTCTCCAGATTTTGTCCTGAAGCATGGCCAGCATGACGCTGATCTCTTTTCTCATCATGATCTCTTGTTTCTTACATACAAAGTCCGTCCTCCTAAAGCAAAATCGAGAATCCTTCTGCAACGTAATTTTGGTGGAATGGACAAAGAACGTCTTCTGGAAGATGCTAGTCGCATGGATTGGTCAGCTGTTGAAAATGCTTCAACAGTCGACTTGAAAGTCGAGTTATTTAACTCCTTTCTTATCCAACTTTATGACATCCATGCCCCAGTAAAACCAATAAAAATGAAACATTTACCTGCACCTTGGTTAACGGATAGTTTAAAAAAACTTATTATAAAAAAAGGATTTGCTAAAAGTAAGTTAAAAGCTGATAAATCTGAGAAAAATTTACGATATTATAATAAAGTACGGAATCGCTGCAATACATTGTGTAGGGATGCACAAAGACGCCATATTCACAAATCCGTCGAAAACGGCGACGCAGCCAAAGTTTGGAAGTTTCTACAGTCTCTTGGAGTTGGTAAAACATCCAATAATTCTCCTCATCATAATGTTGATGTTGAATTCCTTAACAAATATTTCGCCTGCTCTAGCACATTAAATAGCTCAGATAAAGACCGGACTCTGAGTATTCTTTCTTCAATACCAACTCCTGATTTTTCACCGTTTAATTTCTCTCCTTTCACTGATAGTGATGTTAAAAAGAACATTTTGTCCATCTCGTCCAATGCCGTGGGTGATGACAATGTTAGTCGTAACATGATCCTACCTATCCTAGAATTTGTTACTCCTATCCTCACCCATATCTTGAATAAATCCATCTCCTCTTCAAAATTTCCTGATGTTTGGAAAAGTGGACTTGTAACGCCTCTCCCTAAAAAAGCCCATGCTTTGCATTTTTCCGACTTTCGTCCTATCTCAATTCTCCCGTTTTTATCCAAACTCCTGGAGAAACTAGTTTTCTTTCAGTTAAATCTCTACCTAAATAGAAATTGTATCCTGGATCCTCTCCAATCTGGTTTCCGATCGGGTCATAGTACGACAACAGCGTTGGTTAAAGTTACCGATGACATTCGACGAGGTATGGATAACAAACAGCTCACTGTGTTGGTATTGCTTGATTTTAGCAATGCGTTTAACACTGTTGATTTTGACATCTTATTGAGTGTGTTACGTTCTATTAACATATCTCCTCCGGTGATTGGCTGGTTTCATAGTTATCTTTATGGCCGACGGCAGCGTTGTTCGCATCGAAGATGAGTTCTCATCTTGGTGCGAATTACGGGCTGGCGTGCCTCAAGGTGGTGTGCTGTCTCCTTTACTTTTTGCTATATTCATTAATTCTATCTCTCAAAATATTGCTTCTCTCTATCACATGTATGCAGACGATCTCCAAATCTACACTCAGTCAACTTTGTTAAATCTGCCTTCTGCTGTTGCCACCATCAACAATGACTTAGCGGCGATAAACCAGTGGAGTCAGCGTTATGGTCTAAAAATTAATCCGTTCAAGTCCCAGGCTATAGTTATTGGTGGTGGAGGGATGGTCTCCAGAGTTGACTGGAACAACCTACCCTCGGTGACATTAAATGACGTTGTCATACCCTACAGTAAATCTGTAAAAAATCTGGGGATATATCTAGATTCTACCTTGTCGTGGTCGCAGCAGTTAAAACAAGTGAGCAAAAAGGTGTTTGCTACTATGGGTTCACTTCGTCGTTTACGTTCTTTTCTCCCCATTCCCACCAAGATTATGTTAGCACAATCCTTACTTCTCTCTATTCTCGATTATGCGGACGCAAGTTACCTCGATTTAACTGAAGACCAACTAAACAAACTTGAGCGAATTCAAAATATTGCAA